TTAGGTGGACCCTCCCTGGGTCTCTTAAATCTCAAGAGAGATACTCCTATCATTTAATTATTCAAACTTTATGGGGGGACCCACCCTGTGTAACTGTCCCACTTTCCCATCTATCCTTGCTCCCTCAGTGAAGATCCCAGCCACTGAAGAGCCCAAGTCATTCTCTCTGAGTCCTCCGACCCCAGTCTCCCCCAGCCAGGCCAGAAGACACAGCAACCCCCAACTGTATCAGGTGATTAATGAACTTCCTAGGCCTTAGGGCTATTTTGGGGCCTGGAAGTCATGCCTGCTATGATTGAGAGCTGGCCCCGCCTGGCTCTAGCTATCTGTCACTGGAGACAGGCCCAAGCAGTGGGCTTGGGGGACGCATGCTCCCCAAGCGATTTCTAAGTATGGCTCTGGCTCAGCCCCATCTCCCCTCCTTCTGGGGAGTTCATGGCAAGGAGAGGCCTGCCTATACTCCTGGGGCTCAAGTGGATACCATGGAGAGAACCAGAGAACAGCGGGGCTAGGCTGTTTGGGTCTCCCCAGGCCATCTGGGAGGGGATGCTGGGTTCTGTGGGGCCTGCCCAGATAGCCCTAAGGAAACCCAAGTGAAAGTGTGCACAAATAGCAGTGCCATGATATGATATCCATAATACCCATATCATAAATTCCACAAATCCCACACCAAAAGTATAAATTTGTGAAGGCTACACAACCAACTTAGTGTGACTCAGGAACCCCCCAACCCAACTCTAATGCATAAAACTCATGTACATGCAGTTTCACTATCACAGAATCCCAGGGATATGCAACCCAAGGGACACACAGCCCCAGCGATGTTCACAACCTCAGTGACGCATGCACAACCCTCTTAATACAGACTCCTAAAGATAGACAAAACAGTGACATAAAATCTTTGTGCCACACAAGTTTATCCATCCCATCATGCATGAGCTCACTAGCTTAGTTCATGTTGGTCCAGTCCTACCTCAGATATTTTTCCTTTGGACACTCAACCCAGTTATTTTAAGATCCCAGTAAATTAAACAATTCAGTAAAGGGCTGTGCCTTTTCCCTGCTCTGCTGCAAGCTTCCTCCTTTTATCCCTGTGAGGGGCCTTGCCTCTTACATTCACCGGCTTGAGGCCCCCTCCTCCACCATTGTGAAGGACCATGATGCCCCTCTCCTTTCCTCCTTGAGGACCCCTATCTCCTTCACGTCCTCTGTAAGGAACCCTATCCTTAGTTCCACTCTGTCAGGGGTACTGCCCTTTAAACCTTTTTTTTTTTTTTTTGAGGGATACTGCTCCTTCCATCTGTGAGGAGCCCTTTCCCTCCCTACCTTTGTAAGGCTTCTATCCCACTTCGCTTACTTTTTTAGGGGTCCAGCCCCTTCCTCCCTTCCTCATACCTGGCGACAGCGACCCAGTCACCAGCTGGTAGAGGGATCGCGCTGCCTGCCCCAGTGGGCTCCTGCACCTGCGGGAGCAACGGTTCATGATTCCGCTGAGAGCACCAGTGGCCAAGCTCCGCCCCCAAGGTGGTCGGGTCTCCACCGCGCACCCTAGTGGGCCCTGTGTGGGCGGCGCCAAGGACCAGACCTGCAGGACCAGGACCTCAGACCGCAGAGATTCGTTCCACTCCAGGTCTCCTCCGGACCGCACGAGGGAACGGGCCCTGGACCAGCATCTGAATCATTGGACCCCAAAGTTCCTAGACTGAGGCTGAAGGGGAAGGTGGGGTGGAGACCCGGCGTGGACTCTCCTTATAGCCTTCTTTGGGAACATTTTCTGGATTTCAGCTGGGGAAGGGCGGCACCCACGGGTTTTGAAAACGGAGTTGGGGGGAAATGAACCTTATCTTTCATTGCCCTTCTCCAGCCCCTCCTCTACTTGTCACACCCCTCCTCTTTGCATTTTGGCAGAAAAAAGAAGGGGTAAGAGGTAAGAGGACATAGTTGTCATGGCAACTTCCCACACTTCCATACTTCCTGGACCAATGGGAGAGAGAGCAGAAGGGAGGAGGAGGAACTGGCCAGTGTATTGGAGTGGCAAAGAAGAGGTGGCAGGGATGTGCCCCCACTGGTCTGTCTCCTGTCTCCAAATCCCTTTCTCTCATAGGTGTTCCTGTTTTGTGTCCCCTTGTTCCAGCGGGTTCACAGATTCTCCCATCATAGGCTGCCAGCCAAGTATATCAGGAGAAGCGCTCCCCCCCCCCCCCCTTTCTCAGTCCAGTCCCGGTCCTGATCTCTTTCCTGGATTCATCCCCATGCCAAAGTAAGCCCTTTCCATCACCCACTATTTCTTCAAACTGCTAGGACAGCCTACAGAAGGGACATAATTCCAGTCCTTCGACTGGATCCCGTATTTTTTAGCTGAAAATATAACATTTACGAGACGACAGTCACATCCGAATTCCATGCAAATCTTGCCCCTTGATTTGGTGACATCCCCAGTAGGATCAGCTCCGCAAGCATAGCTCCTTTATTACCACACGGGGGCGCCCCAGTCCAGGGAACCATATTTATAGCGTGAAGGACAAGAACAATATTATGGCATGAAGGGAGATCGTAGGCCCAGGGACCCGAGCTCAGGTCTTGGCCAGCCAGGTCCAAATTCTCTCCTCATGTTCTTCAGTCCTTTATTTGCTTCTAGCTAGGAAAGGACCGCCGCTGATCACTGACTTTTCCCGCCGCACTGCCAAGCAGGCCGGGACCTACCGCTTGAGGGATTAGATGTGGAACAGGATAACTCTCAGACCTCCCCCGGCCCCATGAAAGTCTTCGCTGACTGCACAGGGAAGATACTTTGGGCACTCGGATGGCCCGGCAACACCTCCCTCCGGCGAGTTCTTCAGCACCGCGGACAACGACTCCCCTTGAGGCTTCTGCTCAGTCTGCTCAGACTTGTCCAAGCACCCAGTGCTTTAACACAGAGGGTGTCAAAAACCCATTTGTCTCCTGCCACAAGATAAGCTGTCCTTCGAAAGGAGAGCTCCTGGTAGTCCTATTTCTCTTTCCAAGTCGTGTGTATAGCTATCTACAGAGAGGGTGCTCATGACAAGGAACATAATTCTTGATGTTTGCCAACATTTGATCCTATTTCTATTGGGAGGCTGATAGGCAGGAGGTAGTATTCCCCATTTTACAGATGAGAAAAGTGAGGCCCAGAGAGAGCAAAATCATACATAGCTGGTATTCACACTTCCATTCCTGCACCTTCTAGTACAAGTGCTTCCCCACCTTCACCCAATCAATCTCTGATTCAAATAGCCAAGTGGGGAGGGGCTGATTCCATTGAAGGGGAGAATCAATTAAAGCAGGAAGCAAACACTGACTAATGTAGTGCTAATGAGGGCTCTGGGGCCCCTACTACTCTCAAAGGTCCTGAGATGGTGAGAACAGTACAAAGCAGAAATAGACAGCTGGACCTTTGGATTCCATCCAAGTCTGAGGCACATCTAGGGCACACCTGGGGCCTGCCTGAGTGGAAGGGCTTCCCCTTCTGGGAGTCTTGGCTTAGGGACTAGGACCTCCGCAGGGTCAGTGAGTCAAAGAGACACTTTCTAAAGGTATTACATTCTAGTCCTCTCCCCCATCCCAAGTCTTGACCTCATTCCCCTAGGGACAGACAAGGATCATGGCCTCCTTCATGTCCCATTTGTTTCACACACATGGGAGACAGTCTCCCTCCTCCCATTCTCTGTTGGAGTTCTTGAGCAGTCTGCACAATGAGAGACAGAAACACACATGTACATGGAAATGTACACAAGGTGTCACCCACACAAACACATGGATCTGCCTACCAAACCCAGGATTGGGCACAGGCACAGATGTATTGGGCCTCTCATGCCTCCCCAATGGGAAATAGAGGGGATATCTGGGCAGCAAAGTGGTTTGGGGGACACTTATAAGGGGAGGTCACATGGCACCTCCCAGACCTAGAGCTTCTATCTCTGGGTCTGGAAGGGAAGCAAAGGAGTGTTTCTTCCTCTGGTTTAGGGTGACATTCTAGGAGGGTTTTTGGGTGTTGAAAGAGCTTCAGTTGTAAGAATGATCTCTGAATGCTTCATGGGGAGATAGGGGGTCTCACCAAACACTAAACAAAGCCCATGGACAGGGGCCAGGTGCTGCTCTTAGAAGCCAGGCTGAGCATCTGGACACTAGAGTCCCTCCTTGGGTCCATCTGAGCTATTTGTGGAAAACGTGGGGGAAGCAGTGGTGTGTACTAAAGATCCCCTTCTGCGCCAGGAAGCTAGAGAGGCAGCTAGGGTAACACACGTCATAGACACTCACAGAGCCCCACTAAAGACACCACCACATCAAAGTACACAATCAGCATCAAATGCCAATATAACCCATGTAGTCTCACAATCACAAATCACAACACAACCCACTTTAACAAATGCTTGCCCCAGGAAGTTCACAAAGTCTTACAAAGAGACATACCACCATAAAGTGAAGCCCTGACACGTTCTGGTAGTTACATGCCACTTCATACAGAATCACACACTCAAAGCACATAAAACAGAAAGACATGGTCAAACAACTTCATTAGCACAATCAGGGTACTACACAACGTCACTCAAACATCTGACGAGATCATACAATCCCAAAGCCACATACAATCACATTCACCCTGGCCATCTGTCACCAAGCTCAGGGCACATGGCAACCAGCTGTGGGAGGCCACACACATACACACAGACACACACAAAGAATGACAGGCGCTCACGCACGTAACACCTCCCACCAGAACCCTCCTCGCCTTGTGTCATACCGGCCCACACCTGCTGCCTCTCCCCACCTGCCCACCTGCTTTCCTCCCCTCCCCCGCCCGCCCTACACCACCGTGGGATCCAAGGCTTTGAACCCCCGTGTCCTGGGCCCAAAACAGCCAGGAGGGTGCCTGGAAATGGGGCAGAGTGTGGGTAAGGGCTTGGCTAGGGTCAGAGGCTTAAGGGTCTGGAGGGATGGAATCGACCCTCCCTCCTGCAAACCCCGATCCACCGACTCACCGGTGAGCTGGTCATAGGATCCGTCCAGGTCTCGGGAATCGGACAAACTCTCCTTGCGACCCTGGCCCCGCATGGCCCCCAGCAACCCCCTCCCGTCCCACCTGGGCCACGGGAGGGGGCGCCCGGTGACCGGGATAGGGCGCTCACACGGCGCCCCCTGGCGGCGAAGCCCGAGGCCGGGGCTGGGCGCCAGGTGAGTCCGGACTAAGATTGAGTCTGGGGACCCGGAGTGGTCTAGGGCCCACCCAGGGGTCCTGGGGCAGGAACAGAAGGGAGGCTTGGGCAGTGCTGAGGCAGAGCCGAGCTGAGCGCAGAGCTGAAGCCGAGCCGCCTCTCTCCTCCCGCCCCCTCCCAGCGGCTGTCACCGCTGCCTCCCCCCTTTGGCGCTGCCGGGATTGGCTCCCCCTACCCCCGCCCCCTCCTCTTTGCAGCTCAGGGGAGGCACCCGGTGAAAGGGTGAGCTGGAAAGTGCGGGGAAGGCGGCTAGCTCTCTAGAAACACTACCCCCTGAACTTGAAGTCAAGAGTCTTGGGGGAGAAGGAGAGAGCAGGACCAGAAAGACCTTACAGTGAGAAAACCCCGCCCCCAATTCTTTGGCACCCCCCCCCCCCCCCGCAACGCCAGCACTGGTTGGGGTAAGTCTCTGTCTGAGTTGCCTGTCAGTCAGCCTCCACGTAGCCCCTATTTTCCTCTGTTGTTCTCTTCCCATGTATGGGTCTCTGTGCATCGCTCCCCGCCCCCCCCCCGCCCCCCCCCCCCCCCCCGTGCCCACCCTTCTTGAAGGGGCTGGGGATGCGGAGGAGCTGTCAACCTGGCCTCTAATACAGGTTTATCTCAGGCTAGTAGACAATTTTCTCTTCTCTCCCAAGTACCCCAACCCTCAAGCACTCCAGGACCCTTTCTCTGGACCCCATTCATTCTCAGTGTGCCTTCTTTCCTGATCTAATGATCCACATTGGCCAACTGGGGAGAAAAGGAAAAGAAAGTGAAACAGGTCAGTTTTTCAATTCTTTCTTGCTTTTTTTAATGAGAGAGGAAAGGAGAGGGAGATAGAAACATTGATGGGCTGCCTCCTGCATGCCCCCCACTGGGGATTGGGCCCACAACCTGGACATGTGCCTTGACTGGGAATCAAACCAGCGACCTCTTGGTGCATGGGTCCATGCTCAACCACTGAGCCACACCAGCTGGACTTGCTCTTTTTTTTTTTTTCCCTTCAACTTTCTTGGCTTTGTCTATCACCTGCTCTGTCCTAGATTCCTTATGTTTTCCCACAAGATTGGGGGGGGGGGTAAACTGAAGGTTTGGGGATCCAGGTGGGGACCCACAGTGGGGAACAAATGCTCTTGCTATGAGCCCCGTTCCCTTACTTTTCTGAAGCCAGAGGCTAGCAGAGAGCTGGGCTACCTCTGGCTCCCAGGAATGGCTCCTGAATGACTGAGCCTATCTGCCTGATCTTCCCCAAGATGCTGCCTGGCTCTTAGTCCAAGAGCCCCCTGCCCTCATGAGGATGGAGGGAAGACTGGGCAGTGTCTGATGGGTCTGGATGGTATGGTGGCAGTATTCCAGGTAATCCTGCCTGCCCAATAGCTCCTTTGGAGGAATGACCTGTTGAGACTAAAAACTTCAGCTAAAATGACCCCAACTTAATGTCAATGGGGGGAAAAGGAGAAACATCTGTAACAAAAATAAATTAATTTTAAAAATTAAAAGAAAATAAAATACAAAAAAAGAAATGACCCCGACACATTTAATTTCTTCAATTGGATTTAATGTCCAAGTATTTGATTAAATTAACCCAGCAAGAATTATGGTGGAAAACTAGGCATGAGAAGCCAAAGGAACAGCTGTCTTTAGGAGTAATATCCTGCTCCTCTCTCTCCCCTGGCTCTGGAGGGTCCTCCGCAGACCTGGCAGAAACAGTGGGAAATGGACAGAACATGGGCAGCTTCTTTTGAGGTTCAATTCTAGGAAGGGATCGGACTCCTGTTTAGAGTTCTTAGAATAAGGTGTATAGGCCAGCGACAGATGGGCCTTTACAATGGAATCCTTTGTTTATTACCTCATGCTCTTGACCTGTCCTTATTTACTTCATAGGAAAGACTAGCAGGAATCCATAAGCATCCCAAATGGGCTGGCTGTCCTCCTCAATACCAAGTTTGGAGATAAGGGAACTTTCTTCTCTCTCCTTTCACCCAGAAGGCAAGGGAGACTACACCTCTCTGAACCGAATTTGCTTCCTCTGTGGCCAGGAGACTCCAGATGAGAGCCTATAAGGACAGGCAGGGCCCCCCTAGCTAGATGGGATCAGATCCTGGAAGATTACCTTAACTCTGTCTTTGAGAAATGAGTTCTAAGTAAGAGATTAAGGGGGAAAAAAAGACACTAAAAAGACTGTCCCATACAATTAATTTTTAATCATTTCAGCTTGCCACCAGCTTCCAGGTCCAGTTCCTCTAGGATTTATCACTATGAAAAATACTAAATGCCCCAGGTTGAGCGATCCATCTAGTGATCAGAGGTGACCCAGCTGCTGATCTCTTAATCTACATCTGTCCATGGCAGCATTTTGGTGGATTCTCTGGTACTAGTGCATATCTGTCCAATATTTGAGCCAGAACCTTGGTTCCAAGGCTGGGCAAGTATCTCTCCTTTGAAGCTTAAGTGGAACAGCAACCAGGGAGATCCCCAACCTTCTCTCACTGCTGGATTCCTGCACTTATTCCTAGACTTCCTGTGCTGCTTGCTCCCTACCATACCGAGGCTTTAGAAAGTGTTTTAGAAAGGGAGAATCTCAGAGCAGCAGCTACTTAGGAGGCAACTGTAGTGTAGGGAAAGCCTACAGTAGTCCCATGGAGGCTGTCCAGAGGAGGAATCACAGGCCGAATTTCAAATGTCAGGAGATCTGCTGATGGCTGCAGCCAGAATATAGGTGGATGGAATGGCCTCTCCATGATGCTCACCTGGCCTCCTTCAGATGAAGGGTACTCTGCCCCCAGCAGGTTCTTTCCTTCCCAGCCACCAAACCACAGTAGGAACAGATTCCTCCCCAGAGGAAATTCTCAGGCAGGCTGGATGTAAACAACAGCCGAGTGAGGGGGTGGAACTCATGGAGGAGAGCTCAGCAGAGGCAGGAGAGGCTCCCAGAGGAGGGGGTGGCTAGGGAGGTGGGGAAGCTGCTGGAAAGTGAACCAGCAAAGTAGGCACCTGAGGGCTTCAAAAACCTGTCAATGTTTATTTCACACACACACTCACTCACACACACACACACACACACACACACACTAAAGACAGTTTAAACCAGATTGAAAGTGAAAAGCTAAAGTTGTGACCCTATAGTGCTGACAAATCAATGGGTTGGAAGGTAAGAAAAAGCTAACAGATACTCCTGGTACCAAGAATCAAATCCAGAAAGTGGTGGCCAGACAGCAGAGCACTGGGTGGATTCTAATCTTCAGTCTCCCAGAGAAGTCAACTTTGGATTTAGAAAATAAAAAAAGTACTCCATTCCTACCCTACCCTAAACCTGAGCTAAGAGTCCTAATGACTGGACAGAGTGACAGTGCGAACAGGGGAGATAGATTTCAAGCCCAGCTCAGCCCCAGGCCAAGAAAGCAGAATTAGTTCCACCTACATCTGAGAGTTGTCTGTTTTCAGAAGTCTAGGAGAGCCACCGATCCTCAGGGTGCTGGCACCACCCTAAGGCTTACCCCAACACCCTGAAAATTAGTCAGTAGCCACAACTTGTAATTGTAGTTGGAAATGTGAGGGGACATCCAGGGAGCCCACCCTGGACATCCCTACATTCTTGAAGGCTTCTCTCTATGCCCACCCACCCCTCCCCAAAAGACTATCCCTGGCGTGCCCCTCCTGTCCAAGCTCCACTGAAGTTCGGCCTTCATTGAGAGAACTCAGTATCTGTGTTGTTCTCCAATGCTGGGGACAGCCCCTTCTCCCTCACTCCCCTCTCCCTCTCCAGCCCAGAAGCTTCATGGGTAAGGGCAGTCAGTGGCTGCTGAAGTTGGTGTGGCCTCAGGAAATAGTGGAGAACTCCTTGAGCAGGACTTCCTGGCTGAGTGTGTGGAAGGCCAGGTTTCTTCGGACATTGGTGCTAATGGAGCGAACCTGGGAAAGGGTGGGGAAAGGTGGGAGAACACAGGCAGAGAAAAGAGAGGAGAGACCCGTTACAAACAGTAGAGGGCAGTGCCTGAGGCACAAGGCCAAGATTCAGTGCTAGAAGTTTCTCACAGGAATGAACCCTTAACAGCCACTATCCCTGCAGGCAAATGAGCAAACAGTTCTGTGATAGTGGGAAGAGGAGGGGCTGAGAGACAGAATAGGTAGAAGCTAGCACAGACATGGAAGGAGGGCGAGGCAGGCCTTTGTCCTTGCCTCAGCAGTGCTCAAGGGTGACTGGTCTGGTCAGTGGTCTGATGAAGAAAAAACTGATGCTAGTGGACTCACGCTGTGGAGCTACCTCCCTTTGGATGTGTTTCTAGTCTCCTCTCTCCCTTTTTATTTACCTACTATTTTGCGTTGGAAAGAACGTTTAGAAACACAGCCCTTGTCTGGCATAGATGGCAGGAGTATGATCTAAGGAGAACAATGACCAGGATCAGGTCATACAGCTTTTGAGTCCCAGGCCGGGCACAGAACCCAGGTTTCTTAATTCCTAGTCCAGCACTCTTTCCAAACCACAAATATGCCTCCCCACTTTATTTTATTTATTTATCCTCACCCGAGGACATTTTCGCATTTATCTTCAGATAAAGCAGAAGGGAGAGAGGGAGGAAGAGAGAAAAATCGATGTGAAAGAGACATCGAGTGGCTGCCATCCACATGACCCCATCCCGGGCCAGGGACAAACTGCACCCGAGGTATGTGCCCTTAGGGGGAACTCCAGTCCGCAGGGCCGATGCTCTAACTGCTGAGCCAAACCGGCCAGGGCGCTTCCCTACTTTAGAAGAAAGTCTGGGGTGTACCCCTGCTGTGTCCTTTCTGCTCACCTCACATTTTCTACCCACAGACCCAGAACCTTGCAGGAAGTGGTGCCTGTGTCAACAGGGAAAAAGATCAATGGAGAAGGGGTCAGAGGGCCTAACTCCCTACTCTGAGTGCATTCTAAGAGGAATCCAGCAGAGGGGGAGATTCATTCACAGGATATAGATGGGACTGCTGTATGAGAGAAAAGGGAGGGGGCCAGGAAGGAGAAAAAGAGTGTGTATCTGTGCTGGGCCCCAAGGTCCAGGGGGTCGTGTCTTCCTTCAATTTCTTCTTTGCTATGGGAAAGTAAATGAAGCTGTCGGGCTGGAGCCAGAGGAAAGGGCAGCTTGGCGAACAGCAGGCAGCTCAAGCTCTTTAGCTCCAAACCTAACCAGACCCTCTTTGCTCCCCTATGCCAGAGGTACAGATGTAAGGAGAACTGAGTGAGGTAGCAGCTAGGGTCAAAGAGCCTCTAACTTTCTCCTCCACGACCATCTTCATCTCCCAATAACTTACTCTCTTCGATAAGTCTGGGCCCCCAGTAATTCCCCCACATTACCCTAAAGACTTGCCAATCACCCATAAAAATACTCTGTCTTCTTACACTAATGGCTTCCCTTTTCTCAACTAACTCAACCCAGAGGATGTCCTCCTCATCCTGGGGAAGTCCAAAGTCCCAGGAAGATCATGTCAGGGTCAGAGATGGGCTGTGTTTAGCACAAGACAAGACAGATGAGCTAAAATCCAGCACCTTCATCTCAGACTTGGCAGAGATGACATAATTTCTGCCCAGAAGTGGGAGGTCTGAGGACATGGGAAGTAGGTACAAAGGCCTGTGTGTCCTGGTCTCAGCCCCCAGCCAGGACGTTCATGTACAACCAGGCAGGCGGAGTGGCAGGACTACATGGAGGCTGAGCTTTTCCTGAGAGTAGCCTTGAGCATGGTGTAGGAGAGGGACCATCAACAGGGAGAGTCCAGTGGGAGGTGGAGTAGGAGGCAGAGCAAATGCTCACTGGCTCCAAGTGGCCAAGGGTGGAGGCTGCAGGAAGCTGAGCAATTGGAAAGTGGGAGTGGGACAGAGAGCAAAGACTGGAGAACTAGGTGGGGGGAGGAGGGATCGCACAGACAAGGAGCCAGTTAGGAATCTAGAAGTGACTGCAGAAGGAGAAGAAGAATCAATTACTCTCATTAGTTGCTCTGAGGACAGGATAAGGAGTAACCAGCCAGAGCTACCACTGGGAACACATGTCAAACCCCAGGTCCAGCTGGAGCTGTGCAAGGGCTGTCTCTATGGCTACAAAAGAGACGTGGACAATGCTGCCTCAGGTTTTTCATCCTTTCCAACCTGGCACCAGTACCCTGGGGACTATCTTCTCTCACCGCCTGGTCCTGAATTGCTTTGGGAGAGAAGTTGCACACCCAATCCCAGCAGACCCCTCAAATCGTATTTCATCAGCCTTTGGCGAACTGCAGTTGTTCCCTAGATGCCTACCTAAACAGTAGAACCCAGTGGCTGGGAAAGGGTCCCAAAAGACACAGGTAGAGATGGAGGCGGGGCAGACTTACCAGCTCTTTGAAGAAAGCAGCTTCCTTGTGCTGCTCCGAATAGCGCTCATACTGGTCCAGGCCATCCTGCAGCTTCAGTGTGAGTGTGTCATAGTTGGCTCGCACTACCTCCAGCACCTGGGGAGGCCAAGGGCCAGGCAGGGCTTAGTCTAGGCAAACTATAGATCACTGCCCCACCTGTGCTCCTCCTGCAGCCCTACTGCATTGAATATAGTCTGGGGCAATACCCTCAAGAGATATTGCTCACTACTTATCACCCAAAACAAACACACACACAAACCACCCCCCTGTCCACAGGGAGCAATTCCTCAGGGTTCTGCGATCCCTTTCTAATCTCTCCTATTCCCCACTTTTCCTAGTCCAGCCTGGCCACCAAGGATATTTACTCTGAGTATGGTAAAAGAGTGTGAGAAGAGGTGACAAATAGTGAGTGTCTAAGCTCACCAATGTCCCCATACCACAAAAGTGTTCTCAGCCATATCCTACAACTTTCTCTGGCCAGGCTGTAACAGTTGCTCAGTAAGACTTGCCCAATGTCTCCTTCCTTTTTCCTTTTTGGGAACCATATTTCTTTAGTCCTGGGATGTTCCTCAGCACCATCTGCCATTTATTTACATCTCTCAATGCCAACTCAGTCTTCCTATACTGGCCTGGATCGAACTTTTGGGTGTCCCAGTCTTGGGGTGTAGGGAACACTTTCTAGACTAAGTTAGAGGTAATCTATCTTTTGTCTCTCCCCCACCATGCCTCTTTCTGATTTTCTATGGTGGAGATTCAGACCTCCAATGACTCCAGGAACCTTGGATTTCTATGGTTCCAAAAGGAAGGGTCCTGATGTGACTTCAGTTTATAAGACAATGAATTAAAAGCAAGGACAATTAGGAAGAGAGGGACTATATAAAGTTAGAAAAAATAAGCTGGGCAGAAAAGAGAGGGATTGACTGGGCAGAAAGAAGAGATCAGGAAAGGGAATTACTGTTCATTCTGATAATCTGGGTGATAGCTTTTTTTTGTTGTTGCTAATCTTCACCTGAGGATATTTTTCCATTGATTTTTAGAGAGAGTGGAAGGAAGGGGTGGGGGTGGGGGGAGTGAGAGAGAAACATGGATGTGAGAGAGACCCATCGATTGGTTGTCTCCTGCATGACCCCGGCCAGGGATCAAAAACCTGAGAGGGAAGTCTAAAATGTCATGGAGAGCTCCCAGCTCAGTAGGGGGCTTAGGAGATAAGTGAGGAATGAGGGAGGCTTAGCTCTAACAGCAGGTAGGTGTGAAGAGGGTAAACTAGGGTCAGGACTGGTCAGAGAGATTGAGGATGAACTCCTGAGGGGAGCAAAGGTGCCTCTGGGCTGTTCTCACCAATTCAGTCTTGTGCCAGGGCAGACTTCACTTAGAAGCAAATACTTCTGCCTGCCAAGAATTCCTGAGGAGAGAGTATAAATGGAGAACACAGGGAAGGCTGTGACCCCAAGTTTGGGAGAAAGGATAGGTAGGGCAAAAGTCTGACCCAGGCTCTGGGTTCACTACCTCCAGACACTGAACTCCTCAAAGTGACTTTGCCTGACTGTATCCCAAGACCCCAATATGGGCTGGCACCCAGCAATGGCAGTCATCTACAGAGTAATCTGGTCCTCTTATGCACCTGGGCTGTGCTCATGGCTGGAATATCTATAGCCAAGGTCTTGATTCAGAAGCCAATGGCTCAAGCCCAGAAAAAGGCAAAGCTCCTCCAAGATGGAACCAGCTCCCAGAACCCAGGCAGAATAGAATACATGCCTTCTAAAACTATGAATAATGGGCAGCCTCAGCAATGTCTATGGCCCAACAATGTGGGCTCAGCCTTCCCTGAGGGGTTCCAGGTGCCAAAAGACAAATACCATGCTAAAGTCAATTTCTGAGATAAGTGCAGCATGTCAAGAGATGCTACATCCCGAGAGTCTCAGGTCTCAAGCAAGGCTGCCTTGATCACCTAGGTTTTCTCTTCTTGCTAGGGCAGAGTGGAAGGTCTAAGATCTCACTCAGAACAGGGATTTTCCTTTCCCAGTAAAGCTGACTTTTGCCAGAACAGCTTAGTTCAGTTTCTTGCAGGGAGGTGAAAGCAAAGAAGGCCCCTACGCTACCAGCTCCTTGGAAGAAAACCACAGGCCTCACTGGACTTAGTGCATGATCTTAGTTCTCCTCTGTCCAGACCTTTCTTCCTTTTGCTCTGTTTTACCCAGGGGTAAGTTACTCTTCTGTTCACCCAGCCTCTGCCACCTCCTGCCCTCGTCATTACTCTTTTTGTTTTTTTTTTATCTTCACCCGAGGACATTTTTCCATTTTTTGTTCAGTTTGAGTGGGAGGGAGAGAGAGGAAAAGAGAGAGAGAGAGAAACATTGACGTGAAAGGGACACATCTAGTGGCTGCCACCCGCACGACCAACCAGAGCCATGGACAAACTGCAACCGAGGTATGTGCCCCTAGCGGGAACTGAACCCACATCTCTTTGGACCGCAGGCCAACATTCTAACCACTGAGCCAAACAGGCCAGGGCCTCATCATTACTCTTAAATTCCTAAAAGAAGAAGACATTCTAAGCTCAGGTCTGGGCTCTGGCTCATTTAGAACTTTGGAGCACTGGGTACTTTCATAGTTTGCTTTGCTTTCTGTAGCTTCAGACTTTAGGAACATGTCCCATTTGGGCCTCACATTCAACACTGGCCTGGGATGTGGCAAGGGCAGCAGTTAGAGGGCAATCTCCCAGAGCCCTTGTGCCTAACGGCCTTAGGTTTTACCATAATTTTCAACATCACTCTCTAGCTTCCTGGCTCCACCTAGGCTGAGATCCCTCCCTAATCCACAGGTAACAGTCTATCTTCCAAGTATAAGCCTACCTTCTTTCATCAGCTGTTGGGCTTGTGGGCTTCCTAGGACCATGCCCACCACCTCAGCTCAAGGTGGCTCCCAAGTCAGTAAATCACCCATAAGTCATATGCTCTCTAAGGAGTCCATGCCCCTGTGACCCTTACCAGACAGGAAAATGGGTCCTGGCAAGGGGCATGATAGGATGGAACTGGGATTTCCCACTCTTACTATGGGATCTCAAACAATTCACCTAAACTCTCTGAGCCTTAGCCCTTCTCTCTATAAAACTGAACTTGAATTCGTCTTCCTAAAATGACGTGTGAATAAAAGTTTTGAGTTCCTGAAAGTAACATACAATTAATGGATACATTATCATCCCAATGGATAAACAGCTACCTGGACAGCTCTTGGGAGTCAAGAGTAACCGTCTTCACAGCCCATTTCAAACTATCTCAAAGATCTTACGTGCATAAATGATTCTTCACCACAAAGGAACATCTTCTGGATTTAGGTGGAAGGCACAAATGGCCTCAGTTTAGAGAAACAAACTGGGGGATGGGGTAAAACTAAATCCCTCCCCTGAGGTCACTTGAGGGCAAGGGCAGAAAGACCTCAATTTTGGTCCCATTGACACTAATTAGCTATGTAAACATATACATATTACTTAATGTCTTTGAGCCTCAGTTTTCTTTTTTTGTATGTTTGTTCTTATTTATTTTATATTTTTAAAAAATATTTTTTCTTTATTGGTTTTAGAGAGAGAGGAAGGGAAAAGGAGAGAGAGAAAGAAACATCGATGAGAGAGAACATCGACTGGCCACCCCCTGCATGCCCCCACACGGGGGATCAGGCCCACAACCTGGGCATGTGCCCTGACCGGGAATCAAACCGGTGACTTCTTGGTGCATGGGTCGACGCTCAACCACTGAGCCATACCAGCTGGGCTGCTCATCCTTTTTGTAGGACTTATTGTCAGCATCAGAGCTGAGCTTGAACAATCTGCCCTTGAAGTGGAGCCTAGACTGTCAGTGCCAGAGTCACAGACCTGTCAGAGGTAGTGGCCCTCGCCACAGCTGCTGTCTCAGGGGCCCTGCTTTCAGAATTAACTGACACAGTAATGTAAAGTGGAGGAGGTGGTAGACAAAATAGTAGAGACCTTAAATTTCTTCATTTTCCCTGCCTTAAAAGGTGTGACATGATTTCAACCTGGTTGCCCACTCACTGGTTAGTTTTGCAACTGACTCCAAATCACACTTCATGCTACTGGCTCAACCCTGTTATGTGCTTTACATCTGTGGGTATGCCCTTCATGGTGGTTTATCTTGATTCCCTATTTTGCTTTTAACTCCTTAAAAGCAGGACTTGGCTCTGAGAGGTTTAGAAACCTATCAGAGTGCTGAGAACAGTGCTGGGTGTACTGTAATAGCCTAACTCTAATCTTTTTGTGTGACCTTGATGAGAGATTCCTTTCCTTTTTAGTTGGACCTGAGTGTTACTAAATTAGTCCACAAGCATGTTGAATGTTTACTGTTTCTTAGGACTCTGGTAGGCATTGTGAGAAACCTATAATGTAACAGTGGGTCTCTCCTCAAAGTGCTGAGAATAAAGGTGTAACACAATAAGGAAATCAATAGTACCATGTTTGTTTCTCCAGGAGAGGTCCTGCTACTCTGCCTGTCTACACTTGCTAATGTATAAACCATAAAGCAGTGTGTTCTTTTCTCCACAGTAAATCCCTCATTGGTAAGCCTGTAGAGGACAAGTCTCTTCCAGAAAGTCAGGGAGAAGAGCATTTGCTCATTTATGGCAGGAGTTAGCATTTTAGGTCCTGGAAAGCAGTTATTCATGCAGTCATATTAAAATGGAAGAGATAATAATAACAGCTAAGGTTATTAGGCACTTTCTTTTTTATTAGGCAGTATGCTTGACCCTTTATATACAATACTTTATTTAATCCTCACTACTGGCCCTATATGATAAACATTATTATCCCCATTTTACAGATGAGTTAACTGAGGGTCACCCAGCTTCACCCTGCTAGTAAGTGGTGGAGATAGGATATGAGTTCAGGAAGGCTGACTCTAGAGCCACATCATGAACTATGTTATCTTAAAAATTACTAGCTATTGGTTGAAACTCTTTCTCAGGGTCCAGGCACTAGACCTAACAGTGATCCACCAAGGTCTTTACTTGGAAAACATCTTTTCTTTGTAGTGCTTTTTTAAAATCCTTACCCAAGGATATGCCTTTCACTGATGATGATGATGATGATG